GTGATCCAATACAGGCAAGAGAACTGGATTTGAGGTGTCTTTAGGAATACATTGACACCCGGAAACAAATCACACACACACAGCACATTTTGATCGAGGTGCAGGAAACACGCACGGAACACAGGTTTTCCCGCACCTCGTTCTGGTGTGAACAAGTCCGGACGGTTTTACGTTTTGGAGCCAGTGTTGATGGGCTTTGGACTGCAATGGTAGCTTGGCTTCTAAAATGGTTTACAAAGCTTCTACAATCATTCCAAACTCAATGCAGGTGCCTTTGACCTGCAGCTGACATTTCACCTGCTTCAGTTTTTGCATCCTCACAGATGTGTATGGTCAGAGAATCCAATCAAACATCTGTCGACCTGGGCCCTAAAGAAGCTCATATCTGGTTTATAACTTAATTCTCAAGTAGAAAATGCCAGAAACTCGAGGGGTCGATTACTTTGCAGGGTGGGTTATTTATGTATGTTTTTTTAAAATTTATATAGAAAGTTCCAAAGATAATTTTTAAATGTACACATAAGGAACTAATCTCCTTCAACTGACCACACTGTATAGGCTTTGATCTCCTTAAATAGTATCAACATTACTAGCACTTATTGCCAAAAGCAGTGGCAAACTAAATAAAAGGAAATGTAAAAAGGTTTTCCTACAAGATACTGAAGAACGGTGCACTGTATCTTCCAAAATCTGTTGTCATTTGTTGATCTAGTGCAAGCCAGTGGATGAAAGCCAGGGATGTCCTTTGAATTAGGTGTTTGAATTCACCTAGATGATCATGACTCAACTACATTCTAATGATGAAATGTCAGCAAGTTGGCAACACTTTGAACAGTGGATGCAATATATGATCTTACCTAAATTAAAGAAAGACATGAATTAGAACTGCCTGATCAAACTGACATATACTGCAAAAGCCAGGAATTAGGCTAGTTTCACACCTATGTAGTTTGCACTTGAACCTTTTCTGCATTGTGTTTTGCGGTGCGTTTTTGATGCGTTTTGAAGGGTTTTTTTTTTTCTTGTTGCTAGGCTAATTTAAAACACAACACATCAAAAACACACTACATGCTTTTCTGCACCATTTCCATTGAAGTCTATAGGTCCAAAAACACAACTTTTTGCATTCAAAAGTCCCCGACTCTTCCCAAAAAACGCACCGGGTGAAAACGCGGAGATGTGAACATGTCCCATAAGAAATCATGTTAAATGGACTGTTCTGCGTTTCTGCAAAACGATGCGGAAAACGCTTAGGTGTGAACCTAGGGTAACATGCTATGGGATAAAGTTGGACTTAAGGACACCCTCACGTTCAGACACAAAAATGTTTATTTAACTTAAAGGACACTTTGGCCTGCTGAACTTGTATCACAGGATTCATTGTCTGGCTGACCTGCTTTCTGAATTATTAATAGGCCTCATGCACTCTGAGGGTTAAAAAATGCTGCTTTTAGGCTAGGTTCACATCTGTGTGGGTGATGCCGCTGCAGAACCGCACGAAAAATCACCTGCACAGAGGAATTCGTTCTAATGGCACGCCGCCCGCACTGGAAAACGCAACTGTACTGGAAACCGAGGTTCCCGTGCGGGCTGCATTTTCAGAAGAGGTGAAGGGACTTCTTCCCTGCGTGTCACGGGGCACAGGAATCCATTCAAATGATTGGGCTTTCGTGCCCGCACAGCCGCATGTGAACCAGGGGTTAGGGCATCTGACTTTTTCCTTCCCCTGCCTCTAAACACCCTTCCATGTTAGGCTGTATGTCCATGCACATATAGGAGTTTAGAGGCAGAAGAAGAAAAAAACAAAAAACAACCACCAGCGAATACAGGAACAGCAGCTATTTGGTAGGAAAAAAAAGCATAAAACGCGTAAATGCATCTAAAAGTGCATTAACGCTAGGCATGTCACTGGAATGGCCAATGAAATCAACTACACCCCCAAGTGCTTGATGTACCGAAACGCATCTAGACGCATTAACATAAACGTCAATCGCTTTTTCTGCCAAAAACGCTGCTGCCAGGAGGAAAGGCTTCAATGAAGAGAGATCACCAAAAATGGCCATAGAGCCTGGTCAATGACGTCACCCATAGGCTTACTATGGGGCTTCACTTGTTGGCTGTCCATCCTTTACACTGAAGTCTGCACTGACAGCCAATCACAGGACCGGAGCGCTCTCAGAACAGGCAAGTATAGACATCTTTCCTTTACAGACTAGTTCGAATAAGTGAGGAATGGGGGTCAGAGCTTCACCTTAACATTTAGGCCTCTTGAACACTGTACTGATGTATGAGCATCAGACATTCATGGCAGAAAAAAAAGTGAGGATGGCCTGTATATCACTCGCGCAGGAAGCGTGGCATTTGCATGTATACACACAAAAATACTAACTGGCAACTCAGATTCCTGCATTTTTTTACTCATGAATACACAGCACATATTTAAGGGCCTGTGTGTATAGGCACATTGAAAACAATGTGCTGCATTTAGATTAGTTAAAAAAAAAAAAGTCTGCCTGTGTCTTCAGGTAGCAACATGTAAGAAGCCTCTTGGCTGGATTCACACCATGGGGTTGATTTACTAAAGGCAAACAGGGAAGTTTCACTTTGCAAGGGATTTTTCCCCAGAGATTAGTGAATGTGGTGAAATGTCACCCTGCAAAGAATACCCAATCATGCAAAAAAAAAAAAAAAAAAAAAAAAAAAAAAAAACAGCATTTTTGCTGGCACATGACTGGATGATGGAAATCGGCAGAGCTTCACCTTATTCCCTAAACTCTGGGGATCATTCCCTTGCAAAGTGCAACTTCGTTTGCAAAGTGAACAGTCTATTATTGCCTTTAGTAAATAAACCCCCTAAGGCTAGGTTCACATCTATGCACTTTGCATTTAGGCCGTTTCTGGATTGCGTTTCATTTTTGCACCTGCGTTTTTTTTTTTTTTTGTTTTTTTTTTTACACAGTTTTTGACGTGTTTTGCTTTTTTAAAAAAAAAATTTGTTGCCAGGCAGATTTAAAAAGCAAAAACGCATCAAAAGCACAGCAAAACCGCAGAAAAAAAATCATATGGAAAAAGTTGGCAGCATATGTTACAAGGAAAAATAACAAAAAAGAAATACAGACCTGAACTGTCTTTTTCTTTCAACACACCACACAAATGGTTTTTATATCTGTGCATTTAGGTGCACCGACCAGGTGGGTTGGGTGTGCATTATCGCACATGGACTGAAGCAATGGCCCTAAAACCTCCTTCGCACTTCTCTGATGTGTTGCAAAGCATTACGCTGCATTAAACATATACTGTAACTAAAGGCAAGACTTGTTTTAGTTTTGGATAGTGTGGGGAGGGATTAGAACCCCCGTCTGTTTTTACTCCTACCTCTGTCCCTGTTAGGGAGATTCAGCTTCTCCATTTGTCCTGTTTGCCTTTCAGTGGTAATGGTAAAGCAAAAGAAAATCCCAAATTTTAGGTTGTCCCGAGAAAAGTAATGGAAGGGAAATCTTTCAATGGGTACACTAGTTCTGGTGACCTGGGAGGCCCAAGGGATCCCCTTAATTTGAAGAGATTTCCTCTCCCAGAACAAGAAGGGAAGGTAAATCTTCCCAATAGGAGAGGCTCACCACACAACTTACAGGACTTGGGGCCAGTTCACACCACAAAAACGCACTCTGGATGCATTCCAGATACATTTTTGCTTACAGTTCATACCACTCGCAGTTCTGGTGCAGTTTGATGCAGTTTGCTCTGTTTCATTATGGTTCTGTGCAGAAAAAATGCATGTTCCACTTTTATTTCTGCACGGAAACTGACTGCACTGGTGTGAACTAGGGCCATTGGAATACATGGAAAACACCGTGCATGCATTTTTGATGCAGGGGAAAAAAAAAAACAAAAAAAAAAAAACGCACAGGACTGCATCTAATGTGAACTAGCCCTTAGTATCATTAAACCCACAACAGTAAAATCAGTCTGTATAAGCAGTAAAGCATGCTTGTTATACTCACTGTGGAACCTAAAGAGTTAATCCTCTGCATTGTGTAAAAAAGGCTTCTTGATCCTGTCTTCTCTGATCCACCCCTTCTTCTACAGTCCCCAATCCATCTGCTGATAGTACAGAGCCCTAGGAGGCACTCCGCACATGCCCAGTTTGGTGCGTATTGCTAGAGTTTTTGTTTCTGGGGGGGTATCAACACTGTCCTGGAGGGTCAGGGGTCACACAGCATCATAGGACAATCAGAGGAGAATGAAAACTCCTCCTACAAGCTTTAGCCAGTGCTGGGCCAAACTGCTGATGAGCAAAGGCAATTATTTTAGTAAATATAAACTGATTTAAATCAAATCCACCCTGATTTAGCAAACTGATTTAAATCATGATTTAAATCACTAGTCAGTAAGGCTTAATTTAAATCATAGTTTTCTACATAAAGACTAATTCTTGCTGGTATAACTTTAATATGCAAGTAGATGAAGATTTTTAGAATAACAACTTTTCATATTAGTTTTTTTTATCCCCAGTTTAATAGGTTAATCATTCATATTTGGACAACTTTTCTGTTGTACTTAGGAAGGAGAAAAATAATCATTACCTTAATAATAACAATTTAAATAGATTTATTCAACTGAAACAATAACATTCCAGCATATGTTATTTGCTTAAACATCCATGTTTGTTAACTAGTTTGGCTAAACAAAATACCATATTTTCCGGCGTATAAGACGACCCCCTACTTTTCCTGCTAAAATGTAGTGTTTGGGCTATACTCGCCGTATAAGACTACCCCTCTTCCAATGCACACCAGTGGGAGGAATAGTGCCCCATCATTGGTGTCAGTGGGAGGAATAGCACCCCATCATTGGTGTCAGTGGGAGGAATAGCACCCCATCATTGGTGTCAGTGAGAGGAATCGTGCCCCATCATTGGTCTCAGTGGGAGGAATAGTGCCTCATCATTGGTATTAGTGGAAGGAATAGTGCCCCATCATTGGTATTAGTGGGAGGAATAGTGCCCCATCATTGGTATTAGTGGGAGGAATAGTGCCCCATCATTGGTGTCAGAGCTACGAATCGTGCCCCATCATTGGTGTCAGTGGAGGAATAGCCCCATCATTGGTGTCAGTGGGAGAAATAGCACCCCATCATTGGTGTCAGTGAGTGAGAGGAATTGGTATCAGTGCCCTACCATTAGTATCAGTGGGAGGAATAGTGCCCCATCTTTGGTGTCAGTGGGGGGAATCGTGCCCCATCATTGGTATCAGTGGCAGGAATAGTGCCCCATCATTAGTATCAGTGGGGGGAATAGTACCCCATCATTGGTGTCAGTGGGAGGAATAGCGCCCCAACATTGGTGTCAGTGGGGGGTGGAATAGTGCCCCCATTGGTGTCAGTGGGGGGTGGAATACATTGGTGTCAGTGAGGGTGGAATAGTGCCCACATCATTGGTGTCAGTGGGGGGGAATAGTGCCCCATCATTGGTGTCAGTGGGGGGTGGAATAGTGCCCCATCATTGGTGTCAGTGGGGGGTGGAATAGTGCCCCATCATTGGTGTCAGTGGGGGGTGGAATAGTGCCCCATCATTGGTGTCAGTGGGGGGTGGAATAGTGCCCTATCATTGGTGTCAGTGGGGGGTGGAATAGTGCCCTATCATTGGTGTCAGTGGGGGGGGAGGAATAGTGCCCCATCGTTGGTGTCAGTGGGAGGAATAATGCCCCATCATTAGTATCAGTGACACCAATGATGAGGCACTATTCCTCCCACTTACACCAATTACACTTGCTGACCGATGTTCTAGTATGGTGCTGCTGCAGCCAGCATACGTGGTTGCAGCAGCACCTCTACACTGCACACTTACCGGCAGCTCCTTCACTCGATTTTCGTGGGGCTGCTCAGCTCCGCCCCCTCACCGTTGATTGGCCGCCTGTGTGCCTTTCCTGAGCTACAGTTCTGGCGGCCAATCACCGGTGAGGAGGCGGAGTCGAGCAGCCGCGCAAACATCCAGTGGCCGAACTGAAGGCGCAGCCGCGCTTCGTGGACCGATCCAGGTAAGAAACAGCAGCCCCTGCCCACCCCTGTACTTAGTGTCCCTTCCGATGGAAGGGGGGTGGGGCGGCGGCGGCACCACGCCGCCCCCCTAAAAAGTGTCAGTATGCCGTATACCGGCACATAAGACGACCCCCGACTTTTGAGAGGATTTTCAAGGGGTAAAAAGTCATCTTATACGCCGGAAAATACGGTATATATATTTTAAGAAACTTAGACTGTCAGCCCTTCCTCCTCACACTTAGTTTCACTTTCTTCTTGTGCAGATCTATTCCACTCCAAACAATCAGAAAAATATTGTTTCTATTCTATTCACTGAACTTCTTGAAACTTAGCACTGAAGGGGTTGATTCTGTATTCATAGGTTTGTAGAAGTTAGGATTAAGGTCTTTTTCTTAACTCTGTTCATGTTATAACATTTTTGCTGTGAAGAAGAGGCATGTGATCTCCGCTGAGTCAAATTCAGTTTTGAGAACTGCAAAAGTAAACCAAGCATCTGTGATAATATCTTGTAGGCAGAGAAACTGCCCAATAATCTTACAAAAACCTCTGGAAGAGCATGACATTGTGAATGGATTCATGGAATTTATTTACCAAAAAAATTAAACATATACAGCCTTATTCTACATAATTAAAAAACAAATCTTTATTTCATGATGGAATAACCTTTGGGTGGTAATATATTTTCCTCAAAAAGCATTTTATTTTAAAAAATCCGATTTAAATAAAAAAAATCAATTTTTTTGATTTTTTTGAAAAAAAATCATTGATTTTTATCCACCCTGTGCTAAATACATTTCCATGTTCTGTGTACTGCAACAGACCAGATATAGTGAATGCAGGGTCATGGGTTTGGGAATACTTTAAAGAAACTTCTACTAAAATCTTAGTTCCAGGTACCACAGCATACCTCCAGAGGTCTGGTGGAGCCCATGCCCCAATGAGTTATGGTGGGTGGTCATATTGTTATGGCTGATTGGTATGCATGTTGGCATCAGATATGCTCACTGCTTATGCAAACCCTGCTTCTCCCTCAACAGGACTAGACAGTGATTGCACTTACTACACATATCTCCAAGTGTAAATCTAGTCTGCGGAGATTGGCTAAAAACAGGCCTTCATAATTTATAATCCTGTAATCCTTTTTGCGAGGATGTTGACTCACAGCCCGACATGCATATGCTAGCGGGAGGATCTACACATCAGTTTACAAAATTCATTACAATCATACAATACAGACAGTAAACATGTAATAATGTGTAAAGGGACAAAAATGACTTTGGCAAACGAATGGTGATCACACTAAAAAACAGTTGAAAAATGTTACCATCGGTAGCTTATCTGCCAGGAAGATCCTCAATTTGGGGTCTCAGACTGTCCTAATACACTAGTTAATGCAGACAAGGACTAGACCACCAAAGCAGGGACAGCTGCTGTACATTCAGCCCTAAGTCATTGTCTTACCTTCTTCTTCAATTGATGCTGGGATGTCTCTGTTGGAGCTAATAATCCTTGACAGGCCACTAGAAATGGCAGAAATTAAACCATTATTAAAAAATCTATTTTGTCCGGAATCCACAGAGTGCATTCTCTTCATAGACGAATGCCCATAATGGCTTCTCCATGATGTGGGACCAGTGGGCTCTGAGGTAGATCGCTCAAACGTCACTCTTCTCCCTCGCTCACCAATAGATGCCATAGTCTCGTTTATTTCAAACGACCTTCCCAAATCATCAGTCCCACGGTGACCGCCAACACTTCTTCTATAGATAAATTCAGGCGTGTGTGGACTAGGGACTGAATGATGCTGACGCTCGCTAGAGCTTCCTTTGGCATTAAGTCTGGAAATAGACTGACTTTTCCATCTTAAAAGACGCTTCCCAAAAAAGGGACGTCTGAAAAATGAACGCTTGGCCTTCACATGAGGACGCCAGTGATAGTTGTGTAGGCCTTCGTTTTCATCTTTGCTGTACACTCCAACAGGTGCCGACATGGACCGTCCAACCAAAAGAGGATGTGGCTGTCTTTTTCGCAACCGATTTATCCTCTCCATAGTGCTGAGTATGTTCCTTGTAACAAACCCCTTTTCATTAACACATAACTGACATCCCAAATGTCAAAAACCAAAGCACATTTTACTGTATGAAATAATCGAACATGTAAGTTTCTACATGAGACTAGTTGCAGCACACACAAGACACCAGCATCTATCTTCTGTGTTGAACCCACGCGGTTTGCTGTCACTAGTGAGAAACCAGCCTCTTTAAGAACTAGGACTTCCTGAGAAAAGGCTTCTGCTAAAGGTCTGCAGGAAATGACAACAAAGAAAATTGCAGAACCACCAACAGTCATGCAAAACCCAGATCAGTTCTGCATTATGTGAAATCTAAAAAAAATCTGACAAAAAAAGCACCCAGGCTTGAAACCAATGCTAAAATTAACTTACTTTTTTCCACGGAAATATTTGAAAATGAAAGGTTAAAACAACATGCCTGGCAACCTTTTACAAAGACAATAATACACAGAAAATTCAATTCTAGGTGGTGTGAAATACATGTAACATCAATAGACTACACGCAATATATATATATATATATATATATATATATATATATATATATATATATATATATATATATACACACACACACACACATACACACACACACACACACACACATATATATAGTGGCAGTTCTGGCCACTGTCACTGAGAATCAAGGTTATATCCCAAGATTCTCAAATAAACAGGTTGAGGGGCTCCAGAGGGTTTATGTAATGCAGAGGGAACTGGCTTTTCAGTTTCCTAATTTGTTCGTAAAGTCCGTTTTGGGATCTGGAGCCTGGAGATTTTATAGTGATCTGGGAGGGATGAAATCTCCGATCCTGGGTCCATGTTTTCAGAACCCCCAGTACACTAATTGCACAGGTGTGTGCAGGCCTTTTTGTTCAGGCCAAACCATGGTTCCAGGCTCCACCCCAGTAGACAGGAGGTCATTGCCCAGGAGTCAGGAGGGCTCCACCTAGGACAGGTGGGAGCCACAGCAGCAAGGAGCTGTATACCCGAGAGGAGGCTGAATACTTTGTTTCATTTGTATTGATGGTGGATACTCCTGCGTGGGAAACATATTGTATGGAACTTTCCTTTAAATAAAATTGGGCTAAAAAGCCATTAAAAAAGAAGAAAGTGAGTGGCTGTGTGCTGTAGAAGCTCTACCCTTGATGCTAGCTCTCTCACTATATATACACACACATATATATATATATATATATATATATATATATATATATATACACACCCACAAAGTATACACTACACACACAAACACTTGAAACATAGTACATAATATGAGAACAGCGCACACAGCCACCAAATGACAGAATTTATCAGCTAAAATGAACCTCGTGTTTTTTTTTTTTATTTAATCTAAACACAGGCACTAAAATGCAGAAAATTACTTTAACCAGATAACTATTTCGTGTACCCAAGCACAAGCTTAGTTTGGGAGCTTATCCTCATCTGCTGCGATCCCATGATAGCACCATAAAATGCTCCTGAGGCTCTCTCACTGGATATTGGAATGGTGTGGCTTAGCTCAAAATTGAGTACTCCTGGGACGTGAGAGATGGCCAAGCTTTACGGGTGACCAGAGGTATCAGCAGTCACTTTTTAACAGGGTTACACAATCATTTTACATGGAGTCAAAGCTGATGGACACTTCGCTGCTATTGTAGATTACCATTACATTCTAATTACATCCATCTACCACTGGTAGATTACCATTACATTCTGCACCACATAGGTAAACAATACCTTTAGGCCCCATGTACACGCGAAACTTCTGAACGATGGAAACTGACTGCTGGAAAACGTAGGTTAAAGAACATCTGTTTATCCACGTTTGCATAACACGTTTATGTGCGTTTGTGTTTAGAAGCGTTTTTTTTTTTAAATTTGAGCACAGGAGAACCTTCCAAATGCCCAGAATAAACTGAAAAGTGGTAAATTATTAACTATTTCAGACTGTTTCTGAGAAATAGAAAGTAGAAGCAGAGACAGCAGTATGTGTTGAGATTAGCTTAGGTGCGAGTGGCTCATTAACATTTCTTTTGTTTCCAAGGGTGGGAAGGTGTCTGCTGGAGTGAGTTTAAGGCCACCTGGCAAGAGGTCTTCATGAGGTATTTGAGGTGGGAATGGTCATTAACACATATCTTTTGTTTCCAAGGGTGGGAGAGGTCTGAGGTGTGAATTGGTCATTACAATGTGTGTGACAAGCTTGGTGGGAACATACTGTTTTCAGTGTTTTTTTCCATAGGAGTACCTTTGAAAACGCTTTGCATGCATTTTTCATGATGAAAAAAGGCTCTGGACAGCACCGGGAACTGGAAGAGTTAAAAAAAATTTCAGACACAAATGCTTATAAATGCGATTTTTGCGTTTGAAAAGCTGATAAAATCGACTGCTGAACACAAGTTTTCTGCGTTCGAAAAAACGACTAAACTCAAATGCCTGTAAACGACTGTAAACGAAGATGTGTACATGGACACATAGGGAAACATTAGGGTGAGTTCAGAGGCTGCTGGAAAAAAAACGCTGAACAGCTCCTAAACGTGAGTTTATCAGCTGCAGTGTACATGAGCCCTTATAAACAGTAGAATTTCTTAAATGTTTTGCCTGCAATCAAATTACATTTCTAAATTAAATCTATTTTGGATCATTGCGATCTACTGCAGTGGTCTCCGAACTGTGGCCCTTTGCTTGCCGTTATTGGGTCTTTGGAGCACTATTCCGCCCACTGACACCAACAATGGGGCATAATTCCGGTCAATGACACCAACAATAGGGCACTATTCCTACCACTGATACAAATGATGGGGCACTATTCTTCCCACTGATGCCAACACCAGGGCACTATTCCTTCTACGGATACCAACAGTGGGGCATAATTACTGTCACTGATATCAACAATAGGGCACTAATCCTACTACTGGCACCAATGATGGGGCACTATCCCTTCCCTTGGCACCAATGATAGGGCACTATCCCTTCCCCGGACACCAATGATAGGGCACTATCCCTTCCCCGGACACCAATGATGGGGCACTATTCCTTCCCGATATCAACAATGGGGCAATAATCCCCTCCCTAATACCAACGATGGGGCATTGTTTACTCCCATTGACCCCAGGACATTTTCTACTCCAGTGGCCACCTCAAAGTCTGAAGGACAGTAGACTGGCCCTTTGTTTAGAAAGTCTGGAGACCCCTGATTTACTGGGTCCACTGTGTGGCCTTAATGCACATTATGTTGGATGTTAATGAGCACTGCAACAAGCAAGCAACTTCATATGAATGGGCTACGAAAGTACCAAAATAGACTTAAAAATCATGCAGCGTTTTGTAACAGCGCACCACAACGCTGCTGTTAGCCAGCAAGCTAAAACTTACTTTGTATTCTGCTTTACCCTCTGCACAGGAAAGATTTATTTTATCATGCAATAAAGAGGGCAAGAAAAGCCATTAATGTACAAGTTCCTGTGGATGCACCATTACTTCTGTGATCCCCATGTGTGCTTGTGTATATGTGTGTTTAAACTTGGCTAAGGTCCCTGCCTGGCTGCCCTTTTCAACTGTTGCTGATTTCCAACATTGGGATGGTATACAATTCCATATGTCCCACAAAACGGGAAACAAATTATAATGAACAGAAAAAAAAAATTCCTTTTTTGGAAATGTAACACTCGTTCCACAAAACTGGATGTAGGACTAAGGAAGAATCATCAATAACTCCTCCTCATTGCTTACTACTTGTGAAATCTGTGATTGATCTCAGAGGTCACATGGTACAAGGCTATTCACAACAGCCTTGTGCCATGTGACAAGCTGTGACCAATCACAGCTCACACAGTAGTTCTCAATGGCTGCAAGAATGCAGCCAGACAGAAGGAGAAATGATTGCTTTTACAGCCTTCATCAGTGTAAAAGCAATCAGTATAAAAAAAAAAAAATCTTCATCACCCCCCACAAGCAGTACAGTGTCACCATGGTGACACTGATCTGCTAGGGTGACAGTATGTAGAAAAAAAAAAAAAAAACAATAATATAAAAAAGTAAAAAAGAAATGTTTTAAAATGATAATTTTTGGTTATAAACTAATTTGGGTTTTTTTTTTTTTTTTTACTAAAAAGATAACTGAATAAGTTTTGGCCAAGATGTATGATGAAATATTATTTATTTGCAAAATTGTATAGGAAACATTTTTCAACATTTTTGGACTTTCATTTATATAGCAAAAAAAAAAAAAAATCCCAGTGGTGAATAAATACCACCAAAATAAAGCTTTATCTGTCTCAACATTTTTTTAAAAAATTCATATGTGTACAGTGTTGCATGACTGCGTAATTGTAATACAAAGTGTGATAGTGCTGAAAATTGGTCTGGACAGGAAGGGGGTAAAGGTGTCCGGAATAGAAGTGGTTAAAGCAGCATCACTGCAAGTACACGTCCTTGGTGGTTAAAGAAGCCAAATGCAACATCTGCAAGAAAGAAGGAATTGCTGCAACTTGGCAGGAAAGTATATTGACAAGAGGAAGGTAGCAGCAAGCCATAGCATGCTCTACTACCCCACACAAACTAAAGGCCTTCGCCTAATTTAAAACCTGTCCACCATTAGGTGTATGAATAGAGGGCAAGCTGATGAACTCTAGCTAGCCATTGGAAGCTTACAGTTGGGTCTCATCTGTTGCCTTACAGCCGAGAGTCTAAACCAGTTTTAGATATCATGGCACAACTAGCAATACAGGGATCTCACTGTACCAATAAAAAAATGCTCAACACTTGATTACCGAAAAGGTTCTGGAGATACTTTGGGGCTTTTGTTGAGTGTAGGGCAGCCCATTCAAATTAATGCGCACCCCTAGGCAAGATGAGTGTTAATGTGTAAAAGACACCCAAATACTGAGAGTGGGAATGCGTTTTCCTGCTACTTGGGTTTAAATAGGGTCTCAGGGTAATTTCACAGCTGAGCTTAGATTTCCCATTGACTTGCCAACACCCCCAGACTTTGACCTACCGCTGATGACGTGTTAAACTTGAAAGTGTTATGACTGCCAGCCCGATCCTGGCTTTCCTATCCAACAAGACCTATGTAATTGAATCAAATTAATTGCACTTAAAGTGTTACTAAACCCATGACCCTGCAATCACTATATTTGGTCTGCCACAGTACACACAACATGGGAATGCAATTATTTTAGTAAATATAAACTGCATGGGTTAATCCTCCTGTAGGAGGAGTTTTCATTCTGCTCTGACTATCCTATGAGGCTGCATGACCCCTGACCCTCTGTCCGGACAGTGCTGATTGGCACTGTGCTCACCACATGCACCCTTTCCAAAGAAAAAAAAAAACTCTCTAGCCGTACACACTAAACTGAGCATGTGCAAAGTGACTCCTAGGGCTCTGTACGATAAGCAGATGGATTGCGGACTGTGGAATAAGGGGAGGATCAGAGAAGACAGGATCAAAACAGCCTTTTTACACAATGTGGAGGATTAACCCCTTAGGTTCCACAGTGAGTATAAAAAGCATGCTTTACTGCATATACACACTGATTTCACTGTTGTGGGTTTAGCAACACTAAATAAATTGTAACAAAAACCAATGTTTCGAGTAATATACACAGTGTCACTGACCTCTTTCTGAAAATGCCGTTTGCCTGGCTGGCCTATTTCAATACAGAGTTTGGGATCCAGCATACAGCAAATGACATCAGAATTCCTGATCTGCATACTTGTTTGATGATGAATATAGCAACGAAGCCATTAGATGTGTAATATAGACAGGTCACTAATACTTTCAGAGGGCTCAGTCAGCAATGTCAGCCCCATATTACTCTCAGCACATATTTTCCTAATAAAACAGAAAGCTTGGCCAATGGATCCCACCATTAAAAAACACATGACTACTCATCAGCAGAAAATGCTGCATAGCTTCCTAAACTGCCAGGAGTCTCCAAGTAAGCCTCAATTAGATGTCCTCCCAGGACTGCGGTAACAGAGAAAGAAATGAGAAAAGCATGTTCCAACTCTGGAAGATTCTTCAAGTGACCTAAACTGGCATGTGCACTTCCATGACATTACCACATGCATTACAGCCGCTATTTCAAATAATGACTTATTAATAGGTTATACTTAGGATGGAGATGTGCAGAATGGGCCATGATTTTAGCAGAATGGTTACTGCAGCAAAAACTCATACAGGCAGATGAAACGATCAGTGTTAGGCCTTTTGCACACAAGGTGTTCTGTTTAAGGCCCTCTGAACCCCAGACCTCCAGGTAGGAAAAAGCTGCTTAACCACTTGCAGTCCGGACACTTTTATCCCCTTCCTGTCCAGAACAATTTTCAGCTTTCAGCACTATCACACTTTGAATGACAATTACGCGGTCATGCAACACTGTAGACATATGAAATTTTTTTTTTAATTTTTAGACTGATAAAGCTTTATTTTGGTGGTATTTATTCACCACTGGGATTTTTATTTTTTTTGCTATATAAATGAAAGTCCAAAAATATTGTATAAGAAAAACTTTTTTTCAAATTTGCAAATAAATAATATTTCATCATAAATCTTGGCCAAAACTTATTCAGTTATCTTTTTAGTAAAAAAAAAAAAAAATAACCCAAATTAGTTTATAACCAAAAATTATCATTTTTAATTTTTTTTTTTTTTTTTTTATTATTGATGGTTTTTTTTCTACATACTGTCACCCTAGCAGTACAGTGTCACCATGGTGACACTGTGCTACTTGTGGGGGGTGATGAAGATTTTTTTTTTTTTTTTTATACTGATTGCTTTTACACCGATAAAGGCTGTAAAAGCAATCATTTCTCCTTCTCTCTGACTGCATTCTTGCAGCCATTGAGAACTACTGTGTGAGCTGTGATTGGTCACAGCTTGTCACATGGTACAAGGCTATTATGAATAGCTTTGTACCATGTGACCTCTGTGATCATTCACAGATTTCACATGTAGTAAGCAATGATGTCAGAAGTGACATCTTGCTTACTACTCTGCATGTGATCACCGATTGGTCAATCAGTGATCACATGATCGGGACCTCGCACAGAGGTCCCGTACGGCGATCGGTGTTCCACTGTGTCCGGAGAACACAGCGGGCACCGGATCGCGGTGCTGCACGCTGCCAGGGAGCGCGCACAGTCCATAATGGCGGGCGCCATTTATGAACAGCAACCCGCCCCTGGAGTGCCACCGTCCAGCCGTTTATATACAGCGGCCGGACGGGAAGTGGTTAAAAAAAAAACCAAAGCGTCGGGGCATTTTATTAGCTCGAATATTAGATTTATTCTGGCCATTGGAATGCATTAACACTTAAATGAAAGATGTTCAGAATAGAAACCATGCAGCACTATAACATTACATAGTGTAAACTGATGAAATATTGAATAATAATTATTGATGATATTAATAAATCAATGTTAAATAATAGTGATAAACAATATAAGTTGATGAAACGCTATGATGGGCGCAATAAAGTGCAACTGTGAAAGTGTTCATAAAGTAGTGAAGGCTTGACACAATCAGGTCAGCATACAGTGCTCCAAACGGGTCCTAATGGACAAATGGTATCCAATAATTCCGTGTGGCTTTATCCGTGCGGAAAATTGAAGGAAAAAAAAATGTGCACTCACCAGATGCGCATAATTAAAGCACAATATGTTGAACAAGAATCTGCAGGAAGCCCCCTTTAAATGGATCTGACAGACAACGGAACCAGAATCCTTCCTCTGGATACAAGCCTCCTCTGCAGCCACGCTTCCACTGGGGTCCTAAAGCCTTGAGTGCATTGCATATATATTGCAAATCTGTGCAGCAATCCAGTATGAAGCAAACTCTGCACTTTGTCTTGGTGCAAGAGCTACCTGCAATAAAGACCAGTCACTCTTTGTGTGCTTTTAAATGATAGTTGTGCCTAAATTGTTCTAGCATTTATGTGTGTTTAGATGCCTTTTTGCTGCCAGTAAAAGCTCCTCTTATAATAAGCCTATGCGTGCATAGACATACAGGCTGAAAAAAAAAAATATTGCTGAACGCCTGTAACAGCGGCGTTTATTTATTTTTTTAAACTGTGTGCATGATGCCTTATACAGCTAAAAAGATCCAGTTTCAGAAAAAAAAATACATAAAGGATATATATATATATATATAAATAAAAAGAGCAGGGCCCTCGAACCCCTCGTGTATCGCATTGTATTGTTTTGTACTGTCGCATGTACTGTCTCCCATTGTAATGTACAGCGCTGAGCGAACTGTTGGCGCTTTATAAATACTGTATAATAATAATATATAAAAATATAAATACCAAAACAAAAAACAACATATGCTGCATATACGGTAGAATTACAGAGTTTGACTTCAGATAAAAAGTGAACATTGTAATGCAGAAATACAGCGCTGAGAAGAAATATTAAAAAGGTGAGAAAATATGGGTGTAGGTGCTGAAGAGTGCTATCAGTGATACAATATAGTGGTATCGTCTAATTAAGACGTATTGGTATAGTAAATATAAACCAAGTAAATGAATAAAGTTACTTTCAGTGATCCATGTATAACACAAAGTTCAAATGCAAAAAAGATAATAAATAAATAAATATAGGTGAAATCCGTGACTCAGCGGCTGGAAGCTTTTGTATAATATTGCACTAACCAGAAGCGCAATATAAAAGCGCATTTGTGTATATAAATCCCATCATGGTCATCTGGATACGGATGGGGTATTACAAATCATCTGGCACACATCAGCACGTCAGGTGATCAGCAGACCTCACTCACAGGTTCCAGGGGCATCACGTCCGATATTAAGGGCCAATACTGGGCATATAGTGGGTGTGTTGCGGGACTCCACCTTAGGGGCTCGTTAAATAACGAGCCAGAGAGAAAATCTTTGATAGTGCAGTATTTTATTCAAATGTGATATAGGTAATACAAATGCACTCACATCTGGCTCAAAGCAATAGTAAAGATGGCCACCGGCCTTCCTCGCAGCCTGTGCGGCATGCATGACGTCAGCAGCTGGGCTCCCAAGCTTTAACTATACTAATGGGTGAAATCTATCCAAATTATTTCAAAATTGTGCTTGACGGTGGCATGAGAGAGGAAAGTGTTTTATTCTATAATGCATTGAATTACGGTTAGTTATTTAATGTGTTAAGGATGCATTTGGTTTATGTAATGGAGGGGAAACATTGCCATTTTTAAAATAACAAGGCACTAAAGGTCATTATTGAAGTCCATTAACATACCTAATAAAAGCAAAGACAGAAGCTCGGAGTTTTATAATCTGGTGCACCGATATTGCTACTCCATTAAAGTGGAACCGCACTGCATCTGAGTACCACAGACCAAAAATGCTATACAATTCATTTCAATTCTATTCAAAATTAATTCCTCCATCCATCAATGTCTCTGTGCTTTATTTTGCTGAGAAATCATTTTGAACCCCCCCATTTCTGGCAGTGGTCATCTTGAGTAAGGGCAGAAGATTCATATAGCAGTTACATCGTGGAATCCATCTGCCCTTAGCTCAGGCATTGTCTGAGCGGAGAACCCTCCCTCCTTTCCTGAAGACTCCTATGTATGACATCATTTGCCTAGCTATGGAAGCCAGGAAGTAAATGAAGGAATGCAAAAAAAAAAAAAAGGTTAAAACAAGTAAATATTATTTACTTTCCTATTTACTAATGCTGGCAGCATAAGGATTAGAAATAGTCAATGTTGATTGCTACAGTGCTTAAAGTGGAACTTCACTCTCTCAAACTAAAATCATGAATTACAACCAAATCACATTCAATCGTAGTTTTCTATATTTTTCCTAAATCCCATGAGGCTTTCAGTGTTTTCCCAGTGGCATCAGACAGTCCTACCTGCAGCCTCCTGTCTTACTCTTGTACTTTGTAGACTCCCTTGCCAAGAGCCATGTCTCTCAGCATACAGACATGCACACTCTGTAGACTGCAATGAGGATGGAAATATTTGTGGATTAATCAGGATGTACTTCATCAGAATGCAGAGACGCTCTGGAGGCTGCACAGCAGGGTGGCCAAGTGTACTCAAGCAATATTAGGATGAAATACAAAAGCCTTGGGCAGAAAGTCTTCCTCTGCATGTATTTCCAGATGTTCGAGTGTGGCTGGATTGCAACTATAAAGTGAAACTCTAGAAAAAGTACCTAAATTTAAATCTTTTATGCTGTGTCTGCTTTTGTTATATGCTTGGAAAAAAAAAATCCAAACTTCCAGAACTACCAAACTACTTTTGAGACAGTAGCAGCAAAGGAAGCCTAAGGCAAGCCATAGATCAGCGGTCACTAAATAGCGGACCACGGTACGCGAACCGGCCCAACAGCGAAGCCACCCGGACCACCACCAGCCCGCAATGACCGATCCGCCGCTAAGCAGAGCGGTCGGCACGGAAACATGACATCACGTGTGCGCCTCATCCCTTTCAGCTCACTGTGTCTCCGGTTCCCGCTCCCTGCCTGTACACAAGCGGCAAGGTAGGAGTAATCTTACAGGGGCACTCTGATGGGCACATTGAATGTTAAGGGTCACTCTGATAGGCACAGCATAGAATGTGCCCATAAGCGTGCCTCTTAACATTACATGTGCCCATCAGACTGCCCCTTAATATAAATGTTCCCATCAGAGTGCCCCTTAACATAAAATGTGCCCATCAGAGTGCCCCTTAATATAAATGTTCCCATCAGAGTGCCCCTTAGCATAAAATGTGCCTATCAGCTTGTCCCTTATTGTATGTTAAGGGGCACTCTGATGGGCACAGCACAGAATGTGCCCATCAGAGTGCCCCTTAACATAAATGTGCCCATAAGCATGCCCCTTATTTTATGTTAAGGGACACTCTGATGGGCCCATTTTATGTTAAGGGGGCACAAATGGGCACATACTGTGGAAAGGGGCACTCTGATGGGCACGTGATAGAAAGGGGCACTCTGATGGGGAATATAATGTAAAGGGGCACTCTGATGGGGAATATGATGTAAAGGGGCACACTCTGATGGGGAATATGATGTAAAGGGGCACTCTGATGAGGAATATGATGTAAAGGGGCACTCTGATGGGGAATATGATGTAAAGGGGCACTCTGATGGGGAATATGATGTAAAGGGACACTCTGATGGGGCAATATGATAGAAAGGGACACTCTGATGGGGCAATATGATAGAAAGGGACACTCTGATGGGGCAATATGATAGAAAGGGGTACTTTGAGTGTAAGGGGGCACTCTGATGGGAATACCTGATGTAAGGTGGCAATGTGATGGGGATACCTGATGTAAAGGGGCAGTCTGATGGGCACATTTATATTAAGGGGCACTCTGATGGGCACATCTGATGTGAATACATGATGGAAAGTTGCCCTCTGATGGCGACACCTAATGTAAGGGTGCATGCTTATGGACCTCGGCCTATTCGGACCTCGGCCAGAAGAAAATTTTAGTGACTGGACCTCCTTGAATTTTAATTCAATGCCCCTGCCATTGATGATTCTATTTTTCTCTTCTGCAACCACAGGTGGAAGGAAAGAAAATGGTTTGAATCCCCTATCAGCACGTTAGTGTTGTTGGGGGAATCCCTCCTGTAGAGTTATTGTGTTCTGCCAGCAGAAAGCCTTCCCAGCTGGCGGAACACAAAACAGCTAGCGGCTACAGCCACCAGCAGTAATCGCATGCAAAAAAACAGACAGGCTTGTTGTACTTAAGAAACATCGATGGATCAACTTCAGTACAACCAGCCTGCCCATACATGGATCAAATCTCTGCCAATCTCTATTGAAGTGGCCAAGATTTGATCCATCTATTGTCAGGTCAACACAGGCAGCGACCAGCTTCTAGAAGCTTGCAGCAACATGCAGATAATACATACAATGTAAATTAATTGAAAAGCTGCTCTGTAGGGATTCATAGCATTTGTTTTAGGTGATGCTGCAGCTCAAAGAAAGAAAACAGATCAATTTTTGCATACAAACTAACGCAATGTACGTTTTCTGGAAAACTGGAAACTTGGCCTAAGATTAGATTTCTTAGGGAAAAAAAAAAAAAAATCTCATCTGAGGTTCTATGTATGGACCATATTTTACGATATCTGAGTACAAGAGCCACCTGCGCCCTAGCAAAAGGCATACTGCATTTTGTATGCAGGATCTTCTAGCTAGCTACTAGCAAGATCCTGCGTAAGGGTTGCTGTAGTGTCATACAGCCATATGTATGTACCCTATTGGTATCTTTTTTTTTTTTTTTTAACCTCACTACAGTTTTTGTTTTGGGGTTTTTTTTTTTTTCATTTTTTAAGTAAAACTCCAAAACTAAATATTTTTTTTTTGCATAGCTTGCCTCGCTCCTGTATTAAAAAATAAATAAGAAAGATGATGTGGCCAAGTTCTACTAACAGTCTTCATGCTCCAGCACTGTTCCCACTTCCTCCTCCATCTAGCACTGCCAGTCCTCTTCCAGGATGAATGACAGTCATTGTCATTCAACCTACTTCCTGTGAGAGCAGGCTGTCAATGACACTCTCACTTGCACCCCTAGGGTATGACTCATCATGTAGCCTGGGCTCACAGTACGCCTTTTCACAGTACAGGAGGAAGGACTACTCTCCCCTCCCACTGCCACCAAGGAACAAGAAGTACTTGACTTGCAATGTCACTAGACCAGCTAGAAAACTGCAGGGTCAAAAAAAAAAAAAAAAAAAAAAAAAAAAAAAAAAAAGGATCCATGTTGGATGTACAGAGACATAGGGCTGGAATTCCACATCAATTCCAATTTGGAAGTACAAAGCAACGCATAATATCGATGTTTTTCATCAGTTATAGAAACTGGTTACAATGAAAAGACTAAAGTACAAACCAATAATACAGTACATCAAGTTAACAAATAAAGTCAAATTATCTTCCATAAAATAGCTAATTTGCCCCGTTAGATTTTCCTTTAAGTACTTTTTTCAGTTAATGCAACTGTGGATCATTATATAGAAAGGGATTCCAAACATGGCAAATTCATCTCATCTCCCAAAAGGCTTCTGACTGACTGGTTGGGGAGACCTCTGGGTAACACATTTAGTGAGGTTATGGATGAGCTCATAATGTCAGGATTTAATTGGATACATTTAGAACATGTCAGATTATCTTACAGCCTGTACAGCTCCCCAAATCATGTTAATTGCTGTCAGATAAATGTTCACATGATAAGAAGAACAAAAGCTTCTAGTGGGATTTCATTTAATACCATCCAAGTCTTAATGTTTTATAGAAATTAAAATGGGCTACGGTAGTACACCTGTTATTGGGCACAGAGGTCACAAGATTGATCGGATTTCTTTCATTAAACATAGTGTTAAAACTAAAAAAAGACAAATAATAATACAAAGTATTCAGCAAGAAAGACTCCAATGAAGAGTCACTGAATGTGAACATAGCGATAAAAAATGTCCAGGACTGGCCGGCCCAACAAAATCAATCTAGGAGCTTACTGTTCAATACCAAATTAGGGCTCCAAGAACCTCAACATTTCATTGGAGGGTGTTCAGGTAAATCTTGCAACAGTTGGGGTCAAAGTGCATGCATCTACAATCAAAAAGAGATTGCCCCAATTCAACCTACATGAGAGATGAGTTCAGAAAAAGCCTCTGCTAGCCAAAAAGAACATTGGAGCAAAAGAACGATTTTAGTCAAAGATCAGGCATTCTGCAACAGTTTAGGAAATATTTGCTCTTTTTTGAGAGCTGCTGCAATGCACTCTGGAGGAATGTCACAGGTATGCTGTTCCTTCAGAGCACTGTGCTGTGGCCCGGGACTCCAGTGCGCATGCATGGGAGTGACATCGCGGCTTGGCCAGTCAGATGGCCAGGGCTCGCAAACCGAGAAGAAAGACCGGGTGAAGATGGAAGCCACTGCAGTGGGGACAGCATGCCGCTGGAGGGCTTTGTTTTAAGGCAAGTCCTTCATAATGTGCGATGCATACTAGCACATTATGACATTACCTTGCAGGGGATTTTTACATTTTTTTTTTGGTATGGTCCACTACCACAAAGAGGAACTAAAAGGCACAAACACTCATTGCTGGTCCAAACGGTCTGATACTTGCAAGAACCCTCACCAGCATGTCCAGCTACTTCAGGGTGCTGGTCTTTGGCTGTCTTGATGGGGTCCTGCATCTGTGCAACTGATCCAAAGTCTTTGCAGTACAAAGCTGCAAAATGACAGCATCAAGTACAATGCAGGGCCTATAGTCCGGGTATTGTAAGCGAGGACAGCCAGGGACCACCAACAACCCAGAAAGGAGGAGAGCTCTATAAAAAGGAGTAAGATATTATACACCAGTGCGCTAAGCTTTAAAGACACTCTGTGACCATCCGGTACTCCTAAAACTAAAAGGCAGGGAGGAGTTTTGTATTAATTGCACTTACAAAAAGTCCTGTCTGCTGCAGTGCCATGCCATTGATTAGTAGAGATATTAACATTGCAATTCTACAGCAATATCAACACTTCCAGGAGTAAGGTTAGCCAAACATTATACAATTTTCTTGATATACTTGGTTTAGAGTAACCAAAAACCATATAATAGGAAGTCAAACCTAATAACACTTTCAATTGTATCCAATTAGGAAAGCCCTTACACTACATAGTTGCAGATATATCTAAAGGAAATTGGGCAGAAATTAGACAGAAAATTGTACGAAATGTATAGTGTATGGCCAGCCTAAGAGCTTTCTGTGCTGCATGTAAGAATTGGCTAGGATACTTTACTGAAAAGAGTGGACAATAAATAACTACATAGACAAGACTATATATATATATATATATATATATATATATATATATATATACTTTTTATATTGAGCACACATACAGTGTAAGTGATGGGACCTGTGGGAAAAATAGTCTCTTCTATTTTGAAATATGCAGAGCTCTAAAAACACAGGAAAAGAGAAGTGATACAGAGAAAAACCCAATGAACCTCAAAATAAGTGAAAAAGTTGCTTAAACTGTGTGGTCTGCTTGATTTGTGTGTTGGCTAACTTTACTGTTAACATACCGCTGAACGAAGCTCTAAAATTTGTTGGTGATTGCTCAACTTTTTCCAGTGGTAGGGCAATCTTGTCATAATCCAGAAAATGTCAATTTGAACCCTAACATTTGCTTACTGTGTCCAGGGTCTAAAATTTGAATGCAAAAGCATCTTAGGTACTAAATGGGGCAATTCATACTAGTACTACTTCAGAGCCAAATGTCTAGACCAGGGTAATTCAAGCTTTATAAAGAAAGAAGTCAATTTACCATTCTTCAGACTTTAGGGGGGCCAGACTGCGGCCAGCGGGAGTAGAAAATGCCCCACTAATAAATAATTATCAAATACAAAAAGTTGCAGCGCTTGAGTATATAATACAGGGAATTGGCATAAATAGCAGAGTTAAACATTCATATTTCAATATGCACCAGATCCCACACTCTTAAATTGATGTAAACAGTAATCAGATAAGTAATGACGATCTATCCGACTAATCAAGGTGCCTATAGTGGTGGGGATGTTAAAGTCATAAGTTCTGTGATGTATCCAAACAAATCCGTGACTTCCGTGATAGGGGAATAACTGTATATTGCACTAACCAGATAGCGCAAGTAAATGCGCATTGGAGTATAATGACCTACTCCTGGTCACAGCCAGATGGTCCTCAGCGTGAAGCCCTCAGGAACACCAGTGCACCACTCTTGCCGTCTCCTCCCACCAGGGGGAGTGCGCTTCTTTCCAGTAACACGAAATCACTTAATATCCTCTATCGCCAGGATTGGTGTGACAGTGATTAAAAACACGATTACACACAGCCAATGTAATGTGCAAAATATAAAATACGAATAGTCATATAAATAATGATAGTCATATGATCTAAATAATAATAATGATGATCATAAACATAACATAAATGGTCATAAAACATAACGGAAGTTAAAAATGAAATAAAATAAAATAGCCCCTAGGATCTTCCCTAGGAAACTATGGTTAAAACAAAAGCAACTCCATATGAATCACTGGGAGGCATTAACAATACCTAACCGTGTGGAACATATCCACATCAAACTTGTGTACCAATGGTATAATTAAAAATTTAGATAATAACCAGTGCAAATAGTACATGTTAAAAAGAATAAACTCATACTCCAGCTAATTAATGGAAGGGGGAAGAAGGGGAAATAAGGCGCGGGAGGCTTGTATTGCGCATGCGCGGGCGTCTTGGCCTCGCGCATGTGCAGTAGCGGTAAAATGACGCGAAAATGCGTCTTTTGAGAATTAGAGGTCCTCTATATATAAGGGACCATGGTTGAGAGGCACATTCCCTTTGATAATGTGCCATTGCCACGAAACGCGTTAGGGATAAGGACACCTCTCATACCATTGATCATCCATTTGTTTCATGCATCTGACTGTCGGCCATCTTTTTGGATTCTATGCATCAGCTTTTTTGTGGACATTACCATGTAAGTGTATTACTTACTTTTTACCCTTGAATAAAAATACTACACTATCAGGATTTCTTTCTTTTGGGTCTTATTGCCGAGCCCCTGAGATGATCTCCTGATATGAAAGCACACCAATCCTGGCGATAGAGGATATTAAGTGATTTCGTGTTACTGGAAAGAAGCGCACTCCCCCTGGTGGGAGGAGACGGCAAGAGTGGTGCACTGGGGTCCCTGAGGGCTTCACGCTGAGGACCATCTGGCTGTGACCAGGAGTAGGTCATTATACTCCAATGCGCATTTACTTGCGCTATCTGGTTAGTGCAATATACAGTTATTCCCTTATCACGGAAGTCACGGATTTGTTTGGATACATCACAGAACTTATGACTTTAACATCCCCACCACTATAGGCACCTTGATTAGTCGGATAGATCGTCATTACTTATCTGATTACTGTTTTACACCAATTTAAGAGTGTGGGATCTGGTGCATGTTGAAATATGAATGTTTAACTCTGCTATTTATGCCAATTCCCTGTATTATATACTCAAGCGCTGCAACTTTTTGTATTTGATTTTTGATGTAAGGGGTTATACGAGGTTTACCTTTATGCTAGCAGCTTGAATCTTGTCATATCCAGCGCTCGTTCCTTTCTTCATTTATAATAAATAATTATAACTTTTGTGGTCAGGAGCGACAGTGCCTCATCGCTGGTGCCCGCGGGAGCGCCTCATCGCTGGTGCCCGCGGGAGCGCCTCATCGCTGGTGCCCGCGGGAGCGCCTCATCGCTGGTGCCCGCGGGAGCGGCAGCGCCTCATCGCTGGTGCCCGCGGGAGCGGCAGCGCCCCATCGCTGGTGCCCGCGGGAGCGGCAGCGCCTCATCGCTGGTGCCCGCGGGAGCGGCAGCGCCCCATCGCTGGTGCCCGCGGGAGCGGCAGCGCCTCATCGCTGGTGCCCGCGGGAGCGGCAGCGCCTCATCGCTGGTGCCCGCGGGAGCGGCAGCGCCTCATCGCTGGTGCCCGCGGGAGCGGCAGCGCCTCATCGCTGGTGCCCGCGGGAGCGGCAGCGCCTCATCGCTGGTGCCCGCGGGAGCGGCAGCGCCTCATCGCTGGTGCCCGCGGGAGGGACGCTGGTGTCTGTCGGAGGAATAGTGCCTTTTTTGTTTGTGGGAGGAACAGTGCCTTTAATTTGTTAGGCACTCATGTAAACTTCATCTAAATCTACTAGTCCATCAAATCCTACCCTCTCCAGACAACAATGCTTCCATCCCAGGGTGGCTCTGTTGTTCCTCCATAAAACAACAAGCCAAGTGTGTTACTGTCCAGTTTAGCAGGTAAAAATAAGGAAAAGAAAACCTAAAAAAGGAAACCTTATAAAGCCATCACATCTAAGGATTGGCAAGTTAGTTTTTGGGTTTAATACCACTTTAAGTTATGCAATACTCCGAGTGTTTAAATCACATACAAAGACCAATCGTTTCCAAAAACGGATGCAGTTTCACATAAGCATGGATTGTTCCTTCCTGGCTCCCAAAACATGCATACATTTACTGGCTGATGCCATGAAGAGTACAGGACAGCTCGGCATAGAGCCTACTGTCTGTACATTACACAAGACCACTTCTAAAAATACACCAATTGTTTACATAGGCTTAAGTTGTGAATGACAAAAACATCCAGCTCCTGCATAGTAATCATTAGAGGACATCTGCTTCCCCTGCAATGCTTCCTGTGGGCAGAGACCACCTCGCCCTGCTTCTTGTAAACAGACACACCTGACACACACATGTATGGCTCTGTAAAGGTCAACCCAAGCAGGCGAGGATGAGGCAATGCACACCCCTGGTCAGCTGTAGAAGCACGGCCTATTCAACAGACATGGGTGCAGAGAAGCTGCCAGCAGCCCATTCCCATTTAAATCACTTCTTCACATTAAGGCCTCATGCACACAGACATCTACATCCAGTTGATCACTGTGCTGTACTGGTTCTCTTTAACCACTTAAAGTCCAGACACTTTCACTCCCTTCCTGCCCAGGCCAATTACATTTTTTAGCATCTTTTGAGACAGATAAAACTTTATTTTGGTGGTATTTATTCACCACTGGGATTTTTTTTTTTTTTTTAAAAAGTCCAAACATTTTGAAAAAAAAAAAAAAAAAGTGTTTCTTATAAAATCTAAATAAATTACATTTAAATAAAATAAATAATCTTTCTTCATAAATCTTGGCCAATATGTATCCAGTTATCTTTTTAGTAAAAAAAAAAAAAAAAAACACAAATTAGTTTATAACTAAAAATTATAATTTTCCAAAAAAAACTACATTTATTTATTTTTTTATATTTTTATTTATTTTTTTTTTTAACAAACTGTCACCCAAGCAGTACAGTGTCCCCATAGTGACACTTTTGGGGGGGTGAAGATTTTTTTTTTTTTTAACACTGATTGCTTTTACATCCATAAAGACAGTAAAAGCAATAATTTCTCCTCTCTGGCTGCATTCTTGCAGCCATTGAAAAATCTGTGTGAGCTGTGATTGCTCACAGCTTGTCACATGGTACAAGGCTGTTGTGAATAGTCTTGTACCATGTAACCTCTTTGATCATTCACAGATTTCACTAGTAGTAAGCAATGATGTCAGAAGTGACATCTTGCTTACTCCTATTCATGTTATCACTGATTGGCAAATCAATGATCACATGATCGGGATCTCACACAGGGGCCCCATACAGGGATCACGCACAGGCAGGGAGGACATTTATAAACGGCCACCCGCTTCTGCAATGCTCCTGTCCGGCCGGTTATATACATGGGCAGGATGGGAAGTGGTTAACTGCCCAGTTACAGACAGGGAGGTGCTACATGTCAGTCTGGGCTCAGAGAAAGTGGTTTGGATGATGCTGGCTGCTATTCAAACTGGAAGACTGAAGACATCTAGTGTCGAAAAAAAAGTTGCTATGGAGGCAGCAGCCCCAAGTGAAAGAATTGTAGTAAAAGTTGATTTTTTTTTTCACTGTTTAATTTGGCATTTTTAATTTTGACTTGAATTGTGTGCTAAAGATAAATTGT